ATGTGGGCCTAAATCTAGATAACTTTGAATGCGGCTTTTTCTTCTTTCCGACTGATGAATGAGCTTGCGCCGATGATGATTACGCTGATGAATTTGTACATGTAATTGTCGACCATAATCTTACGCGCCGTCGACGTCGCACAAATGACTTCCGTTGGTTATTGGGTGTATGACAGTTAGTATACTTGCGCATTACGTTTTTAATGCATTTGAGTGCAAAGATATTTTGTGCTCCTTCGCAACAGACAAAGCAAAACTCTGCATTGGTCCTCAGTCACCAGATGATCTCATCTAATAGCCGGCTAGCCGTACATAAGCTAGGAGCCATGTTCGTGTTTGATTTTGATGATATTTGGCAGTCAATTTAAGCGCATATTGCCATTGTTCAGAAAAAAACTTAGACGAGTAATGACAGGACCACCATGATCTGGAGAAATTGAACAAGCTTTATGTATTGGAATACACAGCACACATAGTTTTCTAAGGCTGATTATAGTAAGCTGGGCTCCCATATGCAAATTGCATGCATAATAATCTTAAAATTTAATGGCCAGAATACGACGATTTTTGGGGGGGGAGAGAACCCTTAAGTCTAGGAAGCTTACAAAGCGAGGGGCCTTCTCCAGTTTTCTAGCGTTTTGGCGGTGGGTGGAGATACAGTTACCATGGCATTTGCTGCTTCCGGTTACTTAGAGCGCTAAAAAAATTATGTATGCATGCATTCATATATTCATATATACTTTTGACAACAGACAGACGGAGTTTCCAGAGCTTGCACGGTATATGACTCGTGACCTGGTTTTTCATGGCATGTCGGCACCTTAAAAACAATGTTTATGTAAGTGTTCCAGTGTTTCCAGAATTGTAGCATTTCGTGTAAGTGCTGGGAACGTGAGGAGATTATTGTGGTCGGATTGCAAATAATTCCATGGTGCCCGTTCCGTGCGGCGCTCTGTGATACGTCGGGACAATAATGTTGTAGTTACACCGGTGTAGGATACGGAATCTTGCATCAACACCCGAGGGCAGTGAACAGACAGGTGAAAATGACGACCCATCGGAAATCGATACTTGCCACCGCGTTATGGAATCAGTTGGTATGCGTGTAAAAGGTTTTCCGGGCCGGATGTTTCACCGGTGCAATTTTTAGATTGACAACCTCTGGACGGATAACAACGTAGAGCATCTGGAACACAAGGCGCAATAGTGTAATCTCTTTTGCTCGTAATGCTGCACCTGGTTATTCCGTTCAGAGACTTAACTGGTCCACTAACTGAATTGCATTGGTAAAATGCTCTGGTCAGGAGCTGAACGGCATCCCGTCCCATCCCTGGTCCCTAGCGGCTGCTGTGCTCGTGAAAGCCCCCAGGTCCGTACGGAGACCTGAAGAAGGATGCATCACAACCGGTCCCCCTCGATGCGGCTGGCCCTCTGACCAGGACATCAAGCAGCGGATCGACGCAGGAGTCATTACTGATGCTAGCAGACTCTTCAGCAGCACAGGAGGTCCAGAAATTGGAACCGAGACATTAAGTCACCTTACCGGCCGTTGGTTAAAATGCTGCGGAGGATACTTCGTCCGGTAATGGTGCCCTGGCTGACACAGGTCTCTCCACTGTCTCATTGTGAATGTGAACCCTTTCTTTGTCATTTGCCATGAATCCCTTCATTGTCAGGCGGGACTAGACCAACACAATAGGCGCTTTGATGGTGTCCCATCCTCGTCTCTTTTGAGTTGTTTTCCTGACTGACCTGGGGCTCATGACCGACACACGGTCCCCTGCTAGGGACTGTGGTCACTGACCAGCACTGGGGCCCTCCATTGCTTCAGGTGTCCGGACCATTGAAACAGGACTTCTGATTGACGTTTAGAGGCTCTGGCCTTGCCCCTGTTCGAGAAATGACTCTTAAGCCGCAGGATGGCGCGGAGCGGACTGTTCGGTGTTGTTGGCCTCAGTCGGCTGACTCAAATAGGGGCAGAGTCGCACAGGGCTTCTGATCGATGCTGGAGCTACTCTGACATTTGAGGGTCCAGCCTTTAGGCAGTGATCCCTCCATACGACATCTGGCCTGTCCTTCGAACCCTTTCGTCGGGCCCTTGATCTTCGGCCCGAAGGGACCAAAAAGGCCTTCAGTGCCCATGGGACCCCCGGGACCTAAATAGTCGTCTGTGGAGTTGTGGTTTATTCGGTTCCTCGCGAAAATAAAGTTTTGGTAGCCATGTTAGGTGCCCCATGCAATTGTACATCACTTTCAAGTGAATGTTTAGACCGTTTGTGGTGTTGCAACTGAAATTGGGTGCCACTAAAAATAGATATTGTAATGTATCGGAATCAATATTCTTGACGCTTGTGTAACGAAGGTGTCTAAGCAGGTTTTTGTCAGAAGGTAAGATAAGGAACTTGTGGTGCCACTTAAAAGGGAAGATTTGGACCACATCCAATTGTTCTTTTGATCGCCCAGTCGTTCATTGTATTTGATGTCTCAAGGAACTAACTTTGGTGGTGGCCCGAAAGAAAAGTTTCCCTTGGCTGACTAGGTCGATGCATGATTTTGCTAATGGAGAGGCACTGGCATTATGATGGCGCCTGGCATTGTGTGCCTGTGGAAAACAAATGTTATTGTGCCCCAAAATAAGGGTTGCTGGTTAGAAGTTTAGGGTGACAATAGCGTAGCGGTTAACGCACCTGCGTTAATTTTTGCGTGAATGAGAAACTAGAGAAACGGGGTTAGACTCCACCTGGTGCCCGCCCTTTCTGCTAGGATGAAAGGCAGACGACGCCATATAGTCTCAGCAGCTAAGTGCGTCGTAAAGCTCCAATGACAACGAAGGCTGTTGGTGCCCGTTTCCCTGAACAGGGTGTCTTTCCTGAACGGGCTGAACCAGAATGTTTCCAGAGTCAAGGCCACGCCCATCCAGAATGTTTCCAGAGTCAAGGCCACGCCCATTTTGATAACCCTGAATTTTGGTGCCCGTTCAAAATTATGGTTTTGGGCTTTATAAATGGTCCGCTTTGATTAAGTGCCTATTGCAAATAAGAACGATGCGTCCCGCAAGGAAGATTTGTGCCTCTTCGCCCAAGGGTCCAATCCAGAATTTTATCAGGGATGACAGTTAAACATAGTTATGCCCTGGACTTCATGGTTACTTGGAATAAAGGGTCAGGGCTCTTTTTGGCATTATCTGGAAGTGGATGCTCTTCAAAATAAAGTTCGTGGTGTACGAACATGCAGGGTTTGGTGCTGAAAAGGCTGTAACGCGTTGGTGCGTCCCTGTTGAGAGAGTGGCGCGTGGATGATACAAGGGAGGTTCACCCCCAGTAGGTGGAGCTAAGAGGGTGATACAGAGCTAGTTTGTTAAACTGCAGAGTGGTTGTGCGAGCCTGGTATCGGTGTGGTAAGGGTAGCAGACAGGTGGTGGAAGAGGCAAGTCCCGTGTAGTACCTGGATAATAAGTGTGTTGTTAAGACAAGGTAATATGGTTGAACAAATCAACCAACACCCTGCTACCAGCGAAAGTTATGAAATATGTTGTCGCTGCGAACCATTGCCCTAAATCAGATTATTTCCAGAAAAAGTACAGACATATGCGAGGTGTTTGTTTCTTTTAAGAAATGTAAGTATTGAAATATCCTTAGCAAGCCCATCGATCCCGATGAACAACACCACACCTTTAATACTACTGACTTTTATTTCTGTTTTGGTTTTGTACCATACGGTAAAAACTTAAATCAACATGGCCGAAGCCACTTGGAGTCTATCTTCCACCGGTACCAGAGGTGACACGCCCATGGTCACTTTCAGTGAACACGCCAACATACCATCAATAATAACCACTTGAATTGAACCTTGATGCCAAGTACTGGAAGCCTTTCAAATGTAAATGTAACGGTTACTTCTTGTCATACTTTCGGAACACAAGCACTTACCTGAAAGTTAGCGCACTTCAAATGTAACTGGCGAGCCCCACCAACATCTCCAGCACTTCAGCGCCTTTACACCAGCGCCGGCTGGTGATCAAACAACGCCAACTTCAATATTGCGTGCCGGGGACTTGTTTGAAAACTCATCGTTACTTTAGTTGTAACCTGATTTATGTGCTTATGATGCAGAGCAGATGCCACGGAAGAATGCGATGCTGCATGCTGGTATCATGACGGAAAATGAATTGCATCAATAGTTTATAAAATATGTGGGTATACGGTGCTAACATCATTGCGAGAGGAAAGCGACGAGTCAGTTTTCAAACGACCTTCAGTGCGCCAACCGATATGCACGATTGGTCCCCCTGTCAACTCGTATGACGCAGCTTTTCGTCACCGGAGATGACGTCATACCGCTTGAGACCAAACCTGAATGCAACACAGCTACTAAGTAAACGTTTCTAACTTGGTGCAAACCCCTTATCAAAGTGGGCAATTCCCTTTACAAAGGTATTTTACAGCGGTGCAGTTTCCTTCTTAGGTGGGAGGCTTTGCCCCCCACCCTCTTGGCATCCAGCCCGCCACTGAAACTTTGAGAACAGAATGGACCCAGTGCGGTGGAAAACCAAGTTGGTAACACCTTTTATGCCATAGATTTCGTCATTTTTTCACTGCCCAGGCCCCCCGCCCCTCCCCCCCCCCCGCCCACCAAGCTCACGTTGGTAAACTAATCCTGTAAGCCTAGAAAATAACTGCATGCTTAATGCAAACAAAACTCCGAGTTAACATTAAAAAATTCAGCAAGGAACACCGTGGAGGGAGGGGGGGGGGGGCGCATCAACCCCCCACGATCAGTTTGCGTTCTGAAAAAGGGCGAATCAGGAAAACGGTCAAGATTTGAGACGAGATGGTCGGAAGTGGGTCATGCCCCCAGTTCAGATACCTTTTCCAGGAGAACAAAACACACCGTACCGTTCAGGCACTCCGCCGACGAAAGCCTCGTGGTTCGGCTGAGTTCTAACACAAATGCATTACATTTCACCCACGACATACGATAACGATTAGTTTATTCGAACGAAAATGATCATTCACCCGCAACTTGCGTAAACCTACGTGTGATGCAGCTGATGATGATGTATGCTGTACAGACGAGCAGGCCAGCGCTCAGCAAGGCTTTGCCTTCCAAGCCGTGAGCCAGAACACTCCTGATAATAAACTGAACAAATTCGAAGACCATGGATCCCAAAGAACTGTTGACACACGTGTTCTAACACCGAGCATGACATAATGGGTGAGATGACACCACGTGGCTCTCCAACGTGCGTACATTGCTTGAACGATGTCCCCCTCCCTCTCCCCGCAACCCGCTTCGGCCTACTAATGAAGACTGAGTTCAAGACTGTTTCACGCACTCTTGCCTGGCAATCAGAGCCGTGGTGAGTTTCTGCAGCAGCCAAGACGGCGCTGGATCGGTCTTCCAGGGATCAGCTGAGTGGCATATGCAAACACCGCTGGCGCTCCGGCAACCAACTCAGGCGTCCGCATCCATATGAATCCTAGCAGCGACCCATACAAAAGACGCGGCGGCAAACACGGGGAACACTAGGTCCGGATTCGGCCTCTCTCGGGATGCGGCGGGGCTGCCTGGCTGACTCTGACCGACTCTTGAGTCACACAGGCGCGCCGCTGCGCGTGCGACGCCAGCCTGCTGCCCCATGGAAGAACGCACGCGCCGCCGCGACGGCGGAGCCGAGTTGGGGAGTTGGGGAGTAGGGGACGAGACGATCGCACACCGATGCCAACCTATGTACAACAATATGTCACGACACTGAAGATTCGGAAGGACCAAGTCGGAGCACTCCATTCCGCGCAGCGGAGGCCAAGTAGGCACAGGCCACACCAGGTGGTCTCGTCACCGGTGGGAATGGGACATTGGCACATCATGCCGTCAGGCTGTTCATGTCGACACGTGATCACACGGTGTTATTATTGGCCCGCGTTACGCTCATCCCACCTGCAAACATATCTGCTGACTGGTTCACGAAATCGGCATATGGCCGTACAATGTTTTCATAGGTGGGCACGGTGGACGATTGTCGTGTCCACCACCCAGGATCCTCTGGTTCCTGCTAAACGCAACAAAGAACCTTTTCTATTGGTCTTGAGATCGTCACATCCGGCACTGCAGCCCTGATTGGCCGGGACTTGCACGTTATCATTCAATTATACCCCCTATTTGCGGGCGGAGCGAGCATTGTCTTGTGATTGGTCGGCTGTGCTGACAGTTCATCACACCACGCTCTCCTGGTCGCTTGCTGGCCGCACCGTTCGCACGAGAGCACTGCGGGCGGTGGCGGAGCCTCGCCGTCGGCTCAGGGTGGCGTACAGCACCGCAGCATCGGCGTGCTGACCCGGCGCCCCCCGAGCGACCCGCGTCGCCCGCGGCAGGGCCAGTTCCGTCGGCGTGGCGGCCTCACCCTGCCGACAGGGCCGCCTGCGTCAACGGCGGCACGGGGAGGGAGCTGCGGGAGAAGCGTGGTGGCAGGCAAATAAGAAGTAATCCGGTGATTAGTTGGATGAAAGGGCCAGAGCCAAATGTTTGACGCCTGCTCGGAGCATGCCCCGCGTTGCGTCTCGTACATAGGGAAAATCGTCTTGTGTACAGCAACGTATATAGGGGCTTATTTCCAAGAGTACCAACTTTTTTAAACGGCGCGCAACGCGGGTATGGTCTGCTCTGAAAGATGCTTACAACATTAAGCAAAACACGATGAGAGCGCACGTTCCCCCCTCCGGCCTTTCATACGCACAGCCCTGCCTACGCACCTTGTTAACAAATGCAAGTGGATCGGTCCCATGCCCACATTACCCTGCCGGTCCCAATGCTTATCAAACACAGCACAACACAGTGACCCCCAAAAGGAGTAAAGCATCTCCAAAACGTTCCGAAAACGCCGGTGGCTCAAACATCGTCACTGGAGCTTCGTGGCGCGGTTAGCAGCTGAGGCTATATGGCATCGAATACGTCTCATCCTGGGAATAGGAGAGTACACCTCTAGCATGGTCACTGACTCAAAGGTATTTAAGTTGAAGCTGGTGGCGAGAGGACATCTGAGGTGACTTCTGACACGGATGCTGAGTTTTAACTTGCTTGAGCTTATATGAAAAAGATCAGGAACTGGAGACTTCAAAAAGTGACTCAAGTGGATTTACTTAGTGCCCTATCCGCCCTGTGAATCTGGTGCCTGCAGCTGCTTACTTTTGCAGATCTTATAGGGTGAAATAAGCTCCTCTTTCGCCCAAGTGCGTCACATTCAACTGTTCACACGGGCGCGTGTTAACTTGCGCCCGGTTGGGGGTCAATTTGACCGCCCCCCTGAAAAGGGCGTAGGCAAATTGGGGGAGACAAAGATATTTCCAAAATAACTTCCCAACAGTGTAGCGTAGCCGCGCCAAGCTTTGCAAAGCTGTACGCAGTTGACAAATCGATCTTTTGGTATGCACATTAGATGCGTCTGGTAAGGTCGCTGGCCTAGGCCAGTCGAAGTCAGATCATGACCGTCAGCTAAAGCAATACGAAGACATTGTTGTGATGATTTCCTGGACAATCAAGCGGTTGAACTGAATATTATGACCACTCCGATTAACTTTCGGTTAGGTATAAATGTCAGAACGCGATCAAAACAAGCCACTCTTTCACTGGAGAGCTTACTTGATGAGATAGCTTTTGATGCTCATTTCACATCTCGTGATCACAGAGATGTCAAGAGACATCTTACTTGAAGTTCATCAAGGTCAGGCTAGCTCATTGACCTAAAACGACACTAATGGCCCTTTTGTTTGTAAGAACATACCACCTGGTGTGGACCTTCACGCTTTCTTGAACTCATATAATCCGTATCAAAGCTTATCAATTGGACATTCTAAACGTGACATAAGGTCACTAACCCGACTAATAAGCGTCACTAATGCAGGTAACATTTTGCTTGGCGAGGCATCCTATTAAAAGTGGTCAAGTGAGTAGGCCTGTGTGCACTTCAGACGTCAATCTACAGTTTCTATTTGACCTGAAGGTCATGCGCTAAGGATCTCGACATTTTGAGCCCAGTAAGTTCATACACAGGCCTATCCTTTTAACTTGCTGTCTTAAGCTCTCTTATTTTTTGAGTTCTCAGCTAAGGGGCTCAAGTGCCCCGCACCCCCCCCCCCCCCCCCCCCCCCCCCCACCACGCCCACCCAAGCTCGCCGCATTCAACCGGCCACTCGGGTACGTGTCGATATTCACTTCTTTATTAGAAAACGCATATTTACTTCGGATCGCATTTAGCAGCTTGTCATATTCTCACGAAACCCGTGACGTATACAGGGTAACCCCCAAAACGGGCCCCTGCGCACGCTTTTTGTAATATGTTCTTCATTCATTAAATTATCATCCCTATTTTGCCGGACACGACATAAGCAACGCCTGTGACACACATCTAGACATCTACAACGCAGGTTCCTTCAAGAAAATGTTGGACAATTTTATGCATCAGTTCGAATGTTGGAGGCCCTCTTTAAGCGCGGAATTCAGATCTGAATGGACCTTTTTGAGAAGCATGAGACCCTGGAGAACCTCAACGCAGCCAGTAAAAACCGGCCAGGTCACTGAGGTCGCCCCAGGAAGCGTACAGTCCAGGACTGCAACCTCAGCCAGAGGCATCATCGGACCATTTTTCATCGAGGAATCCGCTCGACATTGGCAGCCACCAAGGAGCGGTATGCCGAGGTCCTTAAAACCTTTAAGAGTGAGCTATGAACACTGTATCCGTCGCCTATAAGAAAGTTCCAGCAAGATGGAACAAACGCTCTCGCCCCAAACCTGTCCCGACATTGGTCGAAAGATAACTTTGGAGGCGGTGCGATCAGTCTCAAGTCTGATTTTGGTCGGGCAACTCCTACCCCAGACCTTAGCCCCCAGATTTCTTTCCGTGGGGCTACCTAAAGGACGAAGTGTACGCAAGGAGGCCTAGGACCATCGCGGTACTCAAGAAAGCCATCAGGGGGGAAAAAAGAACCATCGCTCGCTCGGTTTGTAAAGACGCCATGGAAAACTTCGTGCTACTTCTCATGAAATGCAGAACCAAATGGAGGTCATTTCGAACGCATGCTCTAGGATGAAAAAGAAAGATACAAAAACTATCTCATTTTGATATAAATATGATATATTGTGCAGCCAGATAAGAAAGGAGGAACGCTATGCCCGCGTCATGTTTGTTACCCAACTGTCGCGCTGCTCCTAGTCCACCAGCGGTTGTCACATGGCCTTCCCATCTCGATGGGGTCAGACAATGCATTCATTATGGGTCTCGCACCTACCCTGCCGCTGAATTACAACATGCCCTCTACACATCAAAACAGCGGGGAAGATCCCTCACCGCGAAAAAATCAGGGTGCCTAAATCAATGGAGACAGACAGAAAAATATGTGGAAAATGAAATGGAATGGTGGGCGGGACGGGGCAAAAAGAGAAGAGCCTCCCGGTCTCAGAGCAATTAATAGCTTTTTCTCATTATGATTCTTCTGAAAGGGAGTGTTCCGCATCGGTGTGGCGTTCTGAACTGAGATAACAATTCTTAAGATCATTTAACGCAGTTCACATCCGTATCCCTTTACATTCAAATGTCCTTGTATCTAAGTTTGACGAATACGAAAATGTGCAGCCTCTTTCGCCTGGGCTAGTTGAAGGTCACCCAGACATGCGTAACATAGACACGTCACGCGAATACCATCACTACATTGGCTATGGAGTACTCAAGATGAAAAAAATGCAGTGGGCACAAATATCAAACACCACTTGAGTATATGCTTATTTGGATTAGATTCTCACTGGCCGGCAAAGAACATTTCAGGGCCATGAGATGAAGGAAAATAGGCAACAGTGGGGTATAACTACGTGAACCTAGGGCCCGTCCGTCGAGACCTTGTCGCAACAGGGACCACTTAGTGCGGTATGTACTTGGCGCTAGGACGGGGCCACCACAAAAGAGCACTTTTGTCCACGCGTCGCTGACGCATGCAGCCTGCCCCGGACAAACAGGCGTCGCGACGATGCAGAATAAGCTAGAAAGAGGACTACATGGTGCATGTTCGAACACGAAGCACACTGTGTGGTCATGATACAGGAACCCGACCAGTGACGCTAGTGATGTCAGAACTAAGGCTTCGGTAGCTTAAGAATACCGTCGTACACGAGCTTCTGAATGCGAGTCAACACAAAATCAAGGAGAAATTTACAAGAGCAAGTCAAGATAAAGGCCCTGAAACATGCACACATAACGAAATTTGGGTTCAGTAAATATGCACCAGTTATCAAGCCACCCCTCTACAAGTTGAAGTACTATAAGTGAGTCAGCCCGTCCGCTACAGTGGCAGTTCTGACATGACCACTCTGGCAGCTACTCGGACGTAATGAAAACGTTTCATAACGTCTCCAAACTATTATTTTTAGGGGTATATTTACGAAATAGTGAAATTTTGTTCTCTACAGCAGTCGTTCGCATCTAAAAGCATACCGATGGCTGCGAAGTGAGCTTATTTCACATACCTGATGCCTTCCCTCATCATATCTGAACACGGAGCATGCCCTTTAGTAACGATGCAGCCTGTCCACCTGCAGTGTCAACGCAAAACGCGTTTGAGTAATACAGTGCAAAACGTTTCACAAAACGCGTTTAAGTGACAAGGAGCAGCTGTGTGCTAAACAAGTAACCACTTAAAGGGAGTGTTCCACATTTGTATGGGGTTTAAAACTGAATCATCTTGAAGATCGATCGGTGCAGTTCACAGCCCCGCCGTTCCTGAGACCTAAATCATTATAGTTTTGGGTATACACCCGCGAAGATGTGCAGACAATTTCGGGGAGTCTATTCCAAGGTCACCCAGGCACCCACGGCGCCATAACAACGTCATTCATATGTCATTCCATTGGCCATGCGACGAATAAGGCGAAGAAAGTGTAATCGTCGATTCGTTCATATCAGGCGTTCTTGGGACGATTTCCAGATATAACGGCCCTCAATTGGATTTCAACCAATGTTGTGTAGGGCACGCTTGCGTATTCAAATAATGACGCATTGAGGAGCACATTTGCTAAACAGAGAAAATGCGTTGTCCTAAAGCAGCCTTTTACCCTGAAAAACGTACCTAGTACGAATAAGCGAGCTTATTCTAGCACACATGATGCTTGCTTCATTAGTTTCAAGTGTGGAACACTCCCTTTCAACATTTACTTGAAAATACCGATGAGCCAGCCGACATAATATATCATCGATTAAGAGTTCACACGTTGGCAGTTATCGACGTCCAATATACGAGGTGGTACTGGTCAAACGACACTATCCAGGAAGAGTTCCAAGATGTTGCATTGGTTGCCAAATGTCAGGCATGGGAAATATTCAAAGGGTTTTAAGATGACCTTACAATAGCTATATTCGTGATATTAGTTAAGTAAGTTGCATGTTTGGTGAATTTTTGGTCGCGAATTTTGCTCACAGAGCCGACAACTCAAATGTTAATTATATGAACGTGTATCATGCGCATATATATATATATATATATATATATATATATATATATATATATATATATAAGTGCATATTTTAGTTTTTGACTGAGCGAAGTCTGGGAAAGAAACTTCAACAAAATGCAGCTTACTTAACGAATATCACGCATATATCAAAATTTCAGTCAGAGGCTCATCTTAATTCCCTTTTAATATCCAGCAAGCACTGTTCATGTTGTTGACGCTCAATACTGACATCTCAGTGGTTCTTAACAGCGTGCGCTTTGTGGTACTCGGATCTGCATTACTACTGAATGACACCATAGTCACATATCGCGAAATGTCATATGGAAGCGAGAACACAATTCACTTTGTGAAAAATTGTCTTAATATACCGACGGAAATTTGGTGATTGAATGAATTTCGGTGGTAACGCGACAAAGAATAATGTTGGAATGTTACGAGCATTGACAATTTGCCAAATGTGTGCCTGCTAACTTCACTTAGCGAGCATCTCCCGGTATAATGAAGGTCAACAATTGCTACCGTCAGAATCTAGAATATAACACCTAAAAGCCAGAAGCTCAAGGCTTTGCTTGGATACACCACGTACACACGCTCGGGATATATCTGTCGGGATGTTCGACCACCAGAGTACCACCGAGTGGTCAGTCTCAGTATTGCCTCTGCTCTGTTCTTACGCCTTTGGTCCTATATCCCTGACCTTTGAACTGAACAAGGGCGTCATCAGTTTGGAGTCAGTGCAGCCCGTAGCCCAATAGCGTTAGGGTAAATTGGTGCGCCGTATTCCTGAACGCGGCGAATCCGTTGCACAATACTCAAACTCGATCAGTTTGAGCACATTTAACAGACACTTCCAACCACGACCACGAAAAGCGTCAAAAGTCTCCTTTCGAACGCGTCCATTCTTGTCATGCATGTGCGGTTTACAAATAACGTCACAAACGCAGATCGGATCCCTGTAACGCGCGACTTATGGCGCTCCAGGGACCCTAGCTACGTTTCTTCACCAGCTAAAGGGAGCGGCGCTAGGCTGTGCGTTACCGTACCGTCTGTCGATTGCCGTTGTTGAGGCGGGTGGACACGTAGGCAGGAGGCGATGCGACGCCGCACTGTGCCGCGCTGCTGTGACCCGCCAACATCCGGGTTGTCTCCATCGCACCATACTCAGGGTCTGAGGAGAAGCAGATACATCTGCCACTTACCGTGTGCCGATCAGTGTCAGACAACGAACACCGATCAGTGGAAGCCACGCCGTGTTCGAGTCATGGGCACAAATACGGTGAAATTTTGTTGCATCAGTTGGGGGGGCTGTATGACCAGCAGCATCAATAATCTTAACTTATATCCGGCGAAAAAAAATTGCGGTTGATGCTGTAGCTTTATCCTAATACACTGTTTGTCGAAACATTTAGACTGGATAGATTTTTATCGCAGGTTATTAAGTCAACTTACGCTTCGCCCGGATTTGAGCGTTTTTCAAACGGTGGAAGGATGAGGATCCCTCAGATTTCCAAATTGAGAATGAAAGAGCACCGCGGAAGAAAACAACGTCTTGGCATCACGAAAAACTCGCGATTGGTTGCAAGTTTTTTCTAGGTCATGTTTTTTCATGATCTTATGGTCTCATGGTCTCATGGTCATTTCTAGATCATGAGCTATCGACCCGCATGACTGAGATTAAAGGTCAACTTCCCCCATCAGACTATGCTTGACTTGCACCACAGCCTGTACGAAAACCGGAAACATAATAGCATGTAACTCAAACAGGCATATTTCTTGTTTAATCTATAGTTTATCGGTATGCCGTTTTGAGTACCTAGAGCATATGTTGAGGATGTAGGTTCCAGATACCGCCCGTGATCGGCGGATTCGTCGGTTGCCGCCTGCCGCCCGCACTGGTCATGTATAGCCGTTCAGTGCTTCGAACAAACGCCCCTTCTCAGAGGCCAGAAACGCCAAACATACATTTCTGGGGCCACATCACGCACAGCAAATGCACTGGAGCATACTGGAAGTTTAGGCGCGAGCACACGAAATATCACTCAAATATCCCCAAACCACCTTGCGAAGTTTTATCCAACCCCGTCCCACTTCCCTCAGGGAGCGGGCTGACGTGCCTCAATGCTCGGCACGGCCCGCTCCTGCTCTCTGACGTCATCCGACCTTTAGCGCGGCCTCTGCAACCGACCGGAGGCAGTGGCGGATCCAGAGAAGGGATTGGGGTCATGCTTGTTGGGCCCGAAGGGGCTCTGGGGTCCGAACGGGCTATTGGGCTCGAAGGGGCCCATTGGGTCCGAAGCGCCAATACCACGCTGAACAGACGCATGCTTTTTTAAACAAAAAACGCAACAAAAGAGGGCGACTTTGAGCTTCCAGGTAAAGAGCAGAAGTAAACAGCCCACGAGCGGGCAAATATAATGATTGAGAAGGTGGTGACAGGTGAGATGTTTGCGCGTTATGCTGCCCAGGAGCCTTACGCTGTTTCCGGGGATCTATATATCCACTTGCATGGCCAAACATGATTGTCATGATTCAATCATGAGCATGGACTATCCTAGTTACGAAGGTGTCATTATGACACAGAATGGGACTCTTGATATACCAAAGGGTCTCCTGGGCCCAAATAACTACGCTCTACCTCAGTTATGAGCCTCCTTAGTCTAAATTTCGGTAATCTACGTGTATCTTCAATGCCTTTAAGTTGGGAAAAAGATCTCCCCCGAAGAAAACTGAGTGAGCAAAAACATACTCCTACCCACTGCCTGCCAGCGCAAGAGGGGGGAGTTATACCCCTTTGCCCCTCCCCCCCTCCCTGCTTTGCTGCCCCTGCCAGAAGGCCTCCCGCGTTAGGGAGAGGACCATTGCCTGATGCATCCCTCCGGATGTTAAATGAATCAAGAGCATCCGGATGATAATTTTCCCCGCACCCGTGTCGCGAGAATATCTGTTCAGCCCCTGACCGGGGAACCTAATATGCTTCCGTATGGTCTACGCACACGACCTCTCGCGGAGCCCTGGAAACGACAAGAGATCTCCTCAGCTGTCAATAGGGTGGATATAAATTTGGTCAAAAAAGGCCGATCCATGGTCGTCTCGAGTGTCCAGCCTCCTACATAATCGATCAGTGACATAAATAAAATAAAATAATCTAGAGCCTGCGGGCTCAAAATCTTGGAGGCAAGATCACTGATGCCCGGGTTGCAGTTTCTGTAAAACCGCGCGGAATAGGCTGCTGCAGCTAACACCAGGCGGCGGGTGAACAGACGCGCCAGGAAAACCACTGTGAAAACTTACTTCCGAAAGTGTTTTGAAAATCACCTTGTGCCGCTCGAATATGAGACTGGGGCGTATACTTTCACCTACATAAATTTGTGAATGTGCTCTGGGGCAACAGCAACACAAAAACTAAAGATTTTACTCTTACATTTCCGGTTCCACCACATGACAGCACCAGCGTGCGATACTGTGAATGCTAACCCGAACCCGACATCACCAACCTAAATTTGCACAGGTGAAATATACACAAAGGTACCCTCTAAACGTGCAAACTGATATTTTAAAAAGCTGTCAAGGTTACTTTTTACACGCACACTATCGTTTTCGTCCTCTCAGTGACCTCTGCCTAGAATTAAGCGGGAGGAGGGGGGGGGGGAAGGGGGCAGGGGGGAACACCGCGCAGGTTGCCGAGACTGCAACGCTGGGCGTCGGGGTTTTGCTGCTAGGACTTGCGAGGGCGCATGCATATAAGCCATTTTACATTAACTTGTTAACACTAGATTTTGAGCGCTGGTTGCATATTTATCACGAATAAGAGCTAGTCGTGTTAAGAGAAAATTGCCTCATTTCAGTCCCACAAAGCGCGTTCGGGAGGTGGGAAATATATCAGTTTAGAACCCTTAACAATTTTATCAAGAGCCTGCGTGCTATTGGTTTAGAAGAAGTCCATTAAACCAACGTAAAATGAACAGGGCCAGGCGGCTTATTGCAAGCAATCATTCAACACATGGCTTTCAGTTTATGGACATTCAAATGTAGACAAAATTCCATCTTCCATTGAAGGTCTGGCTTCTGTTTATGTAAAAAGGTACAAAAAATGATGCGACAAAGAAGATCGTGTCCCTCGAATTCAAGTGCACCTGCTCCGGTGGCTTTTTGGGGGAGGGCTTTCACAATCAAGAGCTCTTTTGTCCACTACAAGCCACCGCTTTACCAATACTCAGGCTGCGTCTCGGAGAGTAAGTAGTAGTAGAAAACCATGTACACTAAAAACACGCAATGCTGCTTTACGCCATTCAAGAAATCTGACACGACTGCAGCACACTAAAACGTTTTTTTGTGAAAATTCGGAGCTGTGCCACGCCCTATACATCCATTTCCAATTCCCACATCTTGTATAACTCGTTGTGCAAAGAGTTTTCTTACGCTTTAGAACCATCCAGCATGCTAACTGATGTCAAAGAACGAAGTGAAGTGAAGTCAAGGTTAAGTCACGAAAAGCGTCGGTAAAAGAGTGCTTGACTTACGGTCTGAACAGGGCGTGACGCAGCTGGTTCCAGTGTTAACATTTGAGAAGAAGAATTGAGGAGCAGCACTCAGGCCATATTTGGAAAGGAGAGCCTGGGCTACTTCAGGTCCCTCTCCAATACCTTTAGCATTGGGGTCGACGAGTTATTGGTGACCCAGCTCAACATGGAGGGGGAGGCGGGGTCAAGACCCCCTAAAACGGCTAACAAATTTCATTCATGGTTGACCCTGACAAACAGTAAAGAAATGCTGAGCATGGCGTTACTGATTCTGATCTTGTGCTCAAAACCCGTCAGTCGTGAAATAAATACAACGCACGGAGCGTGGGTCTGTAGTAAAACATACCACAGCTCCATTCCGCACAGCGTGATTATTCCTTCACCTTTCATTCTAAACATTCTTATCTTTCGGAAGGTATCAAATTTCCTCATTTTTCTAGCAACAAACTAACAGTCAGGTTGCTAAGTGGAGACTTTATGCCTCGCCCGCATGGCCCTTTTTGATGGCGAGGACTGATAGGGGTAGGCTCGAAGCATAGAGCTTAGTGGAAAACCCCAGTGAATTGGTCTCAGCGAGATCTCACGATTGGAGCTAGTTTGCATGCTGTTAGGTCAACACTGAACTTTATTATTCCAGGTCAAATGTCGATTTTTTCCAGAAAATTGCACTTTCTCAGCACTACAACAGCATCCATATAAGTTCATGCCTTTTGGTGTCACGTAACCTAAACAGGCATGATTCTTGTTATGATGTATGGCTCCAATAACACGCGCTCGGCTGGGGGTCACAGTGACCCCCCCAAATGATTTTTCTAGAATAGTTTCCAAACGGCGCGGCGCAGCCGCGCCAAGATTCACATGGCTGTAGACAATTGAATAACGGATCGTTTGGCATCAAAGATTAAGATGTACTTTGTAAGGTCGCCGACCTAAGGCAGGTCAAAATCAGGCCATGGATTCTGCAAGTCAATTTCTTGTAAATTGTTAAGTCTGATGCAACAACGGAGTGTTAGACGAGAACATACATCTCTGAGATACTTTCGCAGGCAACACAGCAATTGAATAAACAAATTCCATTGACATAAGGTCAGTTTTGAGGGTTAGACAAAGGTCAAAGCCAATCTGTTTTATTGTCTGGGGCTTTCTGTGTGGGGTGTTTTCTGGTGCTCATTCATAATTTATTGATAACAGGAACCCCATTGTCCATCTTCTAGTGCACTTCTCAAAGGTCAGAATAGGTCGCTGACCTAAAATGACCCAGGTCAACATTTGTTTTTAGGAACATAATAACTATTGTCATATTTGTCGCTTGTTTAAATGCAAACCGCAAAGCCAGTCTTGTATGATTTTGGTCACCATGACCTTTACAAGCTCAAACAAGGTCACTGACCTTAAATAAGCATGCGAACTCAGCTTAGAACAGAGCTAGATTCTGGGGCACTTTGCGGACTAACCTGGAGATTGATTTTATTTGACCTTATTTGGCCCAAGGTCATGACCTAGAAACCCCAAACTGTGACCTAAGTGATTTAGGTACAGGCCAGCACACCCTGTAAAATTAGTGTTTCTAGCTCTCTTAGTTCCTGATATTCAGGGAGGGGGTCAAATTGACCCTTTACCCGAGCGAAGGGTATCCAACCGGCCGCCC